AACAGAAAATTGTTTCCTAGTGAACCAGGTCTCAAAAAGAGAAAAAAAAAAAAGAGTAAATAAATAAATAAAATGGGGCTGGAGAGATGACTCAACATCAACAGTTAAGAGCACTGGCTACTCTTACAGAGACCTGGGTTCGAATCCCAGCACCCACATGGCAGCTAACAACTATCCTTAACTCCAGTTCCAGGTGAATCCAAAGCCCTCTTCTGACCTCCAAGGCATTGCATGACACAGGTGCACTTACCTACATGCAGGTATACACTCATATACATAAAATAAAAATAATAAATAAAAAATAAAAAAATTAAAAAATATAAACACACTCCAGAAACCTGCTCTTCTCCTATCATTCAAAGGCACAGCCGGAAGGTGTCATCTACAAACCAGAAAGTGGTCCCTACAAGATGCCACAGCTGCTGGCATCAGATTCTGGACCTTCCAGCCTCTGGAATAATAAGCAATAAATTCTGTTATTTATAAGCCACTGGGTTTATAGTATTTTGTTATAGTAACTCAATAAGACTAATATAGAATACAAGTACATACTAGTTTCTCAGAGATAATGATTGAGATGATGAAGTTACTTCTAAGTGAAGATACCTTGCAAAGAACATTTCTAAAACTCAGAAAACCTTAGAGATGTACATCCAGAAGTTCTTTCCTAGAGGGCACAGCTGCTGGCTGGTAGCAAATTAACTTTCCAAGAGGAAAAATAAATGCTATGAAAGGTAAAGAAAGGTAAAAGAGTTGAAGATGAGCCTCATGGGCCCATAGTGCAGGTCAAAAGCACAAACAGTAAAGCTAGTTAATTAGTTAATTCATTAATTCAGGCTTAGTGGCACAATCCTATAATCCTGGCTATTGAGGAGGCTGAGGCAAGAGGATCATGGGTTCAAGGCCAGCCTTGGCAACTTGGTAAGACCTTGTTACTTACCTAGCATATGTGAGGCCCTGTGTTGTACTTCTAGTGCCCAGACTTCTGTGAACTCTGTACAGTATAGCTGACAAAGATCACAGCTACAAATAGAGCCAAAGAAGGAGAGAGACTTCATGATCAGAAAATTGCTAGTTTCCTTGGTATGAATGAAGTGAGGCCAATAGACACAAGATGTTTAGGAGCATACCGAAAGCAAGCTCTGAATGAAGTCCTTTCTCTAGAAGTTTTCCAGTAAAGGAAAGAAAACATATTTTAGGAAGCAGCAAAAGTCCTATGGAAGAGTGAATAGAGATGAGGCTTCTAAGAGTTGAAAAGAGCCTGTGTATGCTTATAGTACTTTGTGAAGAACGTAAGGAATTCAGTCTTGATAAGATGGAAAAACACCAAAGGTTTGAAGCAAAGACTGACAGGTGAAAAGGTGAAGCGATTTCAAGAACATAGGTCTATAAGGTTACTATTATATTCCTGCCCTGAAGGACTTGGTAGATTACAGCTGTTATGCTGCCTGCTAAGAAACTCAAAGGCTGAAGCCATCAAAGCCTTCTGGGGACCATCAGATGTGAAGGGAGAAACTAGCAAATATTCTTCCCGAGGAAATCCCCAAATCCCTCTGGAGAGACTCAGGAGTTCCCTCTCCTTGCTACATTCTGTGATGGAATTTGCTACAAAACCTGGCTCGCCTCCAATCCTCAAGGAGGTCATACCACCTTAGGAGACCCCCAGCTCCAGATGAGCCCCACCCCATGTACCAATAAAACAACCTCTTTCTTCCTTATTTATTTATTTATTTATTTATTTTTATTTTATGTCTATGAGTGTTTTACCCAAATGCATGTAAGTACACTCATGTGTGCAATGCCTGCAGAGGCCAGAAGAGGTTGTCAGATCCCCTGGAACTGGAGTTATGAACTGTTGTTAGCCAAAATGTGGATGCTGGGAACCCACCCTGAGATTCTGGAAGAGCAACCAGTAGTGCTCTTAACAGCTGAGTCATCTCTCCAGGTCCCCCTTCATCCCTATTTTGAGACATAGTGGAGCAAGTAGTAGAGAGAATACTAATGCATCCCTCAACTCCTATCAGCGAAGCTTCCTCATGCAACACAGGGTGATGAACACAAAGGTCCACAAACAGCCAAAGTGTAGAGAATAAGAGTCTGCAGAGTATGGTTCCCAGGACAGGACCCCTATATTAAACTTCACCCACCCAGGACTCAGGGATCATTGTGGAAGAGGGGGCAGAAAGATTGTAAGAGCCAGGGGAGGAGGTGTATGACCATATGGAAACACTCTAACAGGCCTCTGGGACTTTGTTCACATGAACTTACAAGCAATGGGCCTGCTTCCCATTTCCGCAGTTCTATGCTGGGTTTTTGTCTGCGTTTGCATACATCTGTGTATGACTCTAGATAGGCTAACTAGACTCCAATGAATGAACTTGCGCTGAGGCATGTCTGGGTATATTAACTTGACTGTGTAGGTCTTAACATGTATGACAGAATGCATGAAATCTGGTAGAGTGGTGCTAAAGGGGGTTGCAGATGGGCAAGGGGTATAAAGATGATTAAGATGTTCTGTATGAAATACATAAGAATTCAGTTTTAAAAGTACATAAATTATTCAACTACTAGAGCATGCTATCTTTACACATCCTAAAAACTTGAACAATCCAAGAAATCACTTTAAAAAATGGTAACCTAGAAGACTTTAAAATGATGTGGAAAATCAAATACTGTAATCACATTTTTGTTTTTTGTTTTTTGACAGGGTCTCCCTAGTCCCAGCCCACCTGAAAGTTACTATGTAAACCAGGTTGACCTCATTCTTAACAGAGAGCCAACTGCCTCTACATCCCAGAGAGATGGGATTGAAAGGGCTGGCACTACCATAAACATTTTAAAAGACGGTATTCACAAAGAATTTTTAATGATGTGGTAAAATTATATTAATATAACATTAAAACCTTGAAGATATACTGGACCTTAAAAATCTGATCTCTGGGCTGGAGAGACGGCTCAGCAGTTAAGAGCACTGACTGATCTTGCAGAGAACCCGGGTTTGAGTTCGATTCCCAGCACCCACATGGCGCTACTAACCGTCCTTAACTCCAGTTCCAGGGGAATCCAAAGCCCTCTACTGACCTCCGCGGCATTGCACGACATGGGTGCACTCACATACATGCAGCAATACACTCACACACATAAAATAAAAATAACAAATAAAATATTTTTTAAAAATCTGATCTCAAATTAAAATGCAAATAAGAAAAAGACTTGAAGCACATGTAATAAGCTATTAATAATGTGGATGACTAAAAATATATGCTTTGAATTCAAAACATATAACCATAATATAATATATGTAAAGCATATTGTCAGTATCATGTCAATTTTTGTTTCATAGACATAGCCAACACAAATATAATAGTTATTTCTGGGGCTGGAGAGATTGCTCAGTGGTTAAGAACACTGACTGTTCTTACAGGGGACCCGGGTTCAATTCCCAACACCCACATAGCAACTAACAACCATCTGTAACTCCAGTTCTGGGGGAATAATCCG